CGCGGGGAGACAGCGGCTCTGTCACCTGTCACCTTGTTCACTGAGACAAGTTCCAAAGATGTGCTTGGAGGACAGCAGCTGGGGGTGGGCTGGGTGTGTGTGTCAAGAACGTGGGCCTGGGGGTGGCAGCTGCCTCCCTGCCCTGGACCCTGGTGAGGATGCCTCCTGCACGTTTGCACTCGGAGCCCCGAGAAACGCCCCATGGGGCCACCTGCACATGCCTGGCGGACGTCCCATCTGGGGCCCCCGGCCTTGAGTCGAGAGGGCAGGAGCCAGACGTGGTGTCAGGCTGAGAGAAGGAGCAGACGGGGCGGGCAGCACCTCCACTTCTCACATGCTGGACATGTGGGCAGGTGCTCTAGAATCTTCCACCCTCTGGCAGCTACTCAGTGGCTACCTGACCTGGCCTGACAGTGGATGCTACGGCTTGGGCTTGCAGCTCTGCGCCCTGTAGGTGCTCCAGGATGCCAGCGTGGGCTGGCGGGCCCGGGCCATGGGCAGCGTGGGGCAGGCACTGCGGGCGGTGCCCCCAGGCATGAATCGTGAGCTGGCTCTGCTGCAGGACCTCGAGCTGAGCTGGCGATAGCCGCCTGTCTCAGGACAGGCCTTGTCCAGACCCTTCCCATCAGATGAGGACCACAACCCCAGTGGGGCCTGCTGTCACCGTGACACTTCTGCAGTGAGGGGCAGCTGACAATGATGGGGGGGGGGGCACATCAATCTCAGAGAGCCGGGGGCAGTGGAGCCTCGGGAGGGACTGAGTTCAACTGCTATCACTTCACTGAGGTGGGCAGTGGAGGGGCACTGCCAGCTCTGTGGGGAGCCTACTCCCCAGCCCCTGCTGGTTGCTTGGGGTGGGTGAGGGTGGGGCAGACCTAGCAGGGGGGCTCTAGCAGGAGTTTTGGCAGGGTGGGGACACAGTGCAGGGGGGTCTGCATGCTGCAGCAGAACCCACAGGCACCATGGGCCACAGGTGGGGCAGGCCGGGAGTGGGGAAAGGAATGGGAGGTTCAGCTGCAGCCCCACCCATGCCACACCACCCCGACGTCCCCAACATAGGCACCAGGATGGCATGGGTCCCTCACGGTGTGGGGTCTGTTTCGGGGTACAGCACCCCTGCTCCTGAGAGCGCACCCTCCCACTCCAATGGGACTCTCAGAATGACCCCGACCTGGAAACGGCCAAGTCAGCTGACAAAAAAACAGCAGGGGTCGCATCAGGGCTGACAGCCCCTCACTCAGCCCCTCTCACCCCCAACCCTGAACCCAGGCCCTCACTGGAGACGACCCAGAGGCGAGGCCACCGTCCCTGGGGGGCATGTGGGTGATGTGGTCCTGCAGGCCCCCCTGGCTGCTCTTCACGGGGACCACAGCCAGGTGGGGACATCTGGTGAGGAGCACAGGGGGGATAGCTAGTGAGTGCGCTTCTCAGGAGGGCTGGAGCCCAGGAGGCCAGTGCTGAGCAGGGGCCCAGGCCACCCCGGGGACACACCTTCCCTGCCCCATGACAGCGCTGCCATTGTCGTGATGGCCAGGGGTCGGGTCAGAAACCAACGAGGGTTCCCTGGCCTCTCTGGGGCGCTGCCGCCGCTTCAGGCTTCAGACCCAGGGCCAAGCAAGGCTTCCTCTCTGGTTGCCAAAGACTTTTTGGGCAGAAGAAGAAGTGGCAGGGTGGCCTGCGGTGGCCTCGGGGATGCCATCAGGAGTGGGGCAGGGGCTGCTAGGCAGCACCCCAGGCCTTTGGGGGTGGGTGATGCAGTGTGGAGGGAGCAGTGGTCCCCAGTGTCTGCGGGGCTCAGAGCCTGTCCTGCGAGCGGTGACGAGACTCATGATTCTAAGTGGGGGCAGGGCGGGTGACAGAACTCACCCTCACAGCAATGGCAGGGCAGCGGGGGAGACAGGGAGACGCAGGCCAGCGAGCCCATAGCCACAGACAGTGGTGTGGAGGATGGGCGTGGGGGGGGGGCGCCTCCAGCAGGCACTGGGGCAAAGGCACACCCAGGACAGGTGGCAGCACCAGAGACGTGCGGGCCCCCGGGCCCCGGCCCAGCTGTCCCGTGTGGCAAGGTGGGGGGCCCAGGGGCAGGCAGTGGGGGCACGCCCGGCTGGCCAATGGCGGGCGCGCCGTGGTAGCAGTGGCACAGATGTGGCTGGCGGGAAGCACCCGTGGCGAGTAGCACCCGTTGATGTAACAGCACCGGAGAGCGCGGTGCATACCGTGAGGGGCTGCACCCCGCGCACTCTGAATCACAGCTGGGCCTCGGGGAGAAGTAAACAGTGAGGGGAGAGCCGCCCCGCCCCTGGCTCCTCTGACCTCCAGGCGGGTGGGCAGCCCCTGGGCAGCAGACTCTGGGGTGCTCGGAGGAATCGCTCTAGTTGGGTGGGGTGGGTAGGGTGCGGTGTCCACGGCTGGGCCACAGTATTCCTTTCTGTCCTCGTCAGCCCTGGGGGACAGGGGTGGGCCAGGTGCCACGGGCGCAGGGACTAGCCCGTGGGGCCTAGTGATATGACCTGTGACCATCAGTGGTGTGGATGGGGGTGGGGGAGGAGTGACGCGGAACACAGACCGAGGGTGGGGAAGCAGCATGTCACGTCTAAGGCACAGCACAGATGCTGCCATCTCAACGCAGAGAAGTCACCGTCGGGTCACTGGACACTCAGCGTGGCCCCCTGGGCGCACACACGTCCCTTGGCCCACCCCCAGAGGCTGGACACAGGACAGAAGGTCTGGGTTGTCAGCGAGAGAGAGAGAGGCGGGGCTTGCCGAGCCATTTATCTCTTTGCCCTCCAATCAAACTGTGACCTTATTAATCCCACATGTTCTTATTGGCC